AATAAACTTTTTACTAAATGTGGCCTAGCAGCTTGCACTAGGTACGTCCTTTATCTGTGTATGTAAAACCATATTTACAGTGATATGTTTGTTGTATTTACTACACTCCAAAAAGTAATATATTACTCCAGCAACTGAAACCTCTTTTCTTTAAGAGCTGAACAGATATAATGACTAATGACCAAAAAAACCACAAAACAAGCAAACAAAAAAACTTACAAACGTTTAAAAGAAAATGCAAAATCTCATAAATGTAAGAAATTGATTGGAGGTGGGTGAGCTGATTATCCTCAATACTTCCCAACTTCAAAATTAAGCCTGTCATATATCTAGAAAGTACATAATCAGAAGCTCATCCATCAGACCCCTGTGACTACATCCTGGTCTCAGCCGTTGTGCTTCCTTGAAACAACCAAAGAGGGCGTTATTTCTAGATGCATTTCGTGCCAGAAGACAAATGTTTAGAAAAGAATAATAATAATAAAATCCAGTTAATTTTGACTCAACTTTTTAAAAAATATTTAATTAAAACATTTATTGGCAAATTTAATTTACTTCTAATTACTTTCAGTAATAAATATGTCATTATTACCTACGTGGTACAGAATGTTATTTGCATCAGACTTCATTCCACGTTCTTAAAACAAGAAATGACCCATGTAAAACTAGTATTTATGTCCATATTACTCTAGTAGTGCTAGGTTTGCATGATAAAGTTTCCTTTTTAAGGCATATTTGTCCATGTGATAAAATATTGTGGTCCATATTCTTTCCTAAGTTACATTACCTTTGAATAGTTCACTTGTAATAGTAAAATAAAATTTAAATAAATAATTTTAAAAATCCAGCAACCCTGCAAATTGAAAATCTGTGGAAGAACATAGGAAAAGCACTACTGAAGAATTTTCAAATCACCTGAATAATGTTGCAGACTCCATAGCAACTTTCTGGTGGCATGGTCAGAACACACCTCCTTTTTTCTATCCCAGAGCAGCTAGGCAAACTCCCATGACCAGTTACATCTTGTGAGTAAGGTTTTCTGCTAACCTCAGGCTCAGCTCTCCCAGCTTCACTCTCTCCTCTTCCTCACTTTCTAAGTTATTGTCTGTGTGTGTGTAGCTTATAGCATAAAGCTGAGGTCCTGCTGTTTAGTTAACATCTGTTCCTGATTCCCAGGAGAGTGAGAACTCTCCTGGAGGGAGATTTGCAGTATTTCAGTAATAACAGACCAAACCCGTACTGTGGCAACAGGTGTACATTTGAATAGATCTGAGAGGGAAACCAAAAGGAATGATGTCTTCTATAGACTTTTACAAATAAAAAGTACAGGGAAAACAAATACCTATTGCTGCTTGTTTTATTTGAGGTAAGGGGGAAATAAACACTGAAACCCAAAAACCTGAAAGGAAAACCTCACGTGGTTACTACATCAAAACAGTCACACATCCATATATTTCATCTAATGTTAGATTAAGCTACTTGCTCTGCTTTAAGAAATGAGTGGTGATTACTAGAGTCAAAATTTCATTTCCAGTAGAATCGAACTTCTTTTACTACAGAGAAAATAAATGAGTAAATGAACTGCTTGGTATTACTCAGTACAGAAAGCTGCTACTTTCAGCAAAAGAATCCCATACTGGTTTTCAATCCAGCTGGAGTTGAAGTGTTCTTTTAAATTCTTTTTTGTTTTTTTTTTTTTTTTTGAGTTGGTGAGAAACACCACCCTTCCACGTGCTTACAGTATCTGAGCACTGTGAGAGCATTTCCATTGCCTCCACATCAAATCCGTACATTTCTAGGAGCATTCTGATTTGGCACTCATTTGTATCCACATCCCCTATTGCATGGATTGCACATAAAGAAAGATGCATGCCCTGGCTATAGAGACTGACCAAGAAACAGTCAACAGCACCAGTTGTGTTCTGGTATTTGTAATTCATCTGTGCTTTTTATGGTAATGACACAGACATCAAACTATCCAGCGTGAAGCATTTATTTTTATAAAAGGTGTAAAAGTAAATCTATGGGTGACTTGAAAATAAGTGATGGAGAACCATGATCCTAGGAAGCTTTTTAAGGAGATGCCTACCCTTATAGATATGACAACAGTGGTACAGGAAACTCAAACTTAACACTGTTAAAGACTGAAGTGCTTCACCAAGAAGTATTAATTTGTCCTTAAAATGCATGAAATCATCTTGTATAGGTATGATGACCCTCGTAGTACACATAAATCATAGTGGTACATGATGATGATTACTGTCTATTCTTACTGAACTAGTATAAAGAACTCATGAAAAGAGCTGTCATTGACTTACTTACAGAAGTCCTTGTCACGTAAACACTTAACAGAATTTAAGACATTAAGATACATTTTGTTTTGGTTTTTACATGGCACAAAGAATTTTCTGTATCAGCAGCAAATCGCTGTGACTTGAGGAAAAAAGGATTTCCTCATTTTCAAATCAATTTTGTATTTAAATAGACGTCTTTAGTATCAAAAATAACAATAAAATTTAAATTTCCATACTAGTCTTCAGCACCTATTTTGAGAAACCAAGAGAAAATTACAACCTGAAATTGAACTACTTTATTCATATGGATATACTGAAAGTTGTTTACTGATTAATATCCCTATATGACCAAGTTTCTGCATATCTATTCACAGTAAAATTAAATCAAATCAGTATACTGTTACATGTTCTTTCAAAGTTCTGCTATGAGCCTTAATATTTCTCATAGATATTCTCATTTTTATAGAATGCTTGTCAAAACACAATTCTTAATCTATGTCAGACAAAAATTGCATTATATGACATCTCTGTTGCACCTCAACGTTAATTTTAGGATTTTAGGATCTTTCCCTGATCCTAATTGAAAATCTTTGGCTGATTTCATGTTTTGAAAACAAGAATGTATACCTATCTATCTCAATCCAGCAATACAGAAAATAGTATTTTTAAGATTTCTGTTCCTGGGGTTTCCAATAACTATCTCCATACAGGATAAATCTCTCCTATGAATACACAAATAAATCACATGTCAGTGTGCTCTAATATGTGCTTCTGTGTCACAGTGAAACAGCAAACATACTTCAACATTCAAATTCCTTTGCTACGCTCCATTTTACAGAATCAGCTTAACAAAAATCTGTTTTCCATCTGTTTCATACATCAACAGCAACAGTCATTTATTCCTTCTCAACTTATTCCCGCTTATCTAGCTACAAAAGATAATCCACCATATATCAGATAAAACAGCTTAGTTTCTGTAAGTGTCTTCTTACAGAGCCAGGCCCAGAGAGAAAGAAAGCAAGAGCTTAATGTCTTGGCACGTCTTTCCATTACCATCAAGGTAATTCAAGGTAGCATCTTTCATAGGAGAAAACCATAAAATATATGTGTCAAGTTCTACTCAAGAAAAAAATATAATGCTATAGTCAACCAAAAAGTACTTAAGACCTATACACCTCTATATGGGAACAGTTGAGTCACAGCATGAACCCCTGACTGAGCACCTGGGGAAAGGACCTGATCAGCCCTGGCAGCACAGGTGAAGGCAATTCAGCTGTATGACTGGAGGGAGTGGAGCCTGGCTGCACCTCTCTTAGACCTCATTTAAGGGCTGACTGCCACTGGGGAAGGATTTCTCTCTAGAGATCTCTTCCTAGTGGAGTTTTCCCCTGCAAACCTGCAGTCTTCTGCTACAGGTGAGCAATCTTGTTCTTTTCCTTCATAGCACCTTCCTGTTATGCTGGTCCTGCTGCCATCACATCTCTGTTGTAATGCCTTTCCTATTGTATTGATCTCTCCAATTGCTATGACCTCAAACTCCAAAACTATTTGCTATTTTATAATCCTAATATTTTCTCACTGTATGACCTCTCAATGCTACAAATATATTTAAAGGATAAACACATCACGGTTCTCTCTGAGCAGCTATGTCCTCTCCCCTCAAACAGGTTTTCAAGAGGTAGTTAAAGTTTTAAATCTTATTTCATTATTTTATTAATTGATGTATAGATATTATTACTTACATCTCACAACTTCATTATCATCTACATAAAAATTGTTTCTCCCTTTTTTCCTTCCAGATATATTTATGAAGTAAGAATTATACTGTGGGTTTATCTTTAAGCCACGGCACTGCAAAGCCTAAGCATCATGCTAATTTCTGGCTTTAAAGCAGAGCTTACTTTTCACTGAAGAGTAAGAGACTATAAGGGAAAATTGAGGTTTGCACAATTATTTCTGTAACATCAAATGAACATAGTGGAACTGGAACGAAATAAATAAGTTTTCTAGTACACACAGTGCAATACTTCAAGACAAAATACCAGAATCAAGAAGGCTTATGTTTTGTTTTTCTAAAATGAGAAAATGTTTGTTTGCCCTGGTTATCATGCTTATTTTCCTTGTAACACTTTAATAACTATTACACTCACCTGAATTCTTTGTTTTAAATCCAAAATAAGAGACAAAATACCACTGAAAACTTCTGAGGAATGTTTAACTCACCTTCCAATGCACTCAAATTACTTTCCAGGTAATAAAGCATACAATCCTACTTCAGCAATATGTTAGCTGCCCTCACTTCAATGAACACCCTCAATACTCCTAATAATTTGGACTATACCGGATGCTAGTACTGAGAATTTACTGGATAGCATTCTCAATTACTATATGAATACTATATAAAAGGACTACTTTGTGATTAATGGGGATGTAAAAGGTAGGCAAACACTCTCTAAAGCAATTATGAGAATAAGAGATTCTTAGACAAGTCAATAAATCACAAGTCTCTTAAACATTGTAATTAATCTTCTATTTGTAAAGAACAAACAGCCAATGTACATAAGCAGTACTACTCATTACTGGCTCTCCCACTTTAATAACCCAACAAAGCAATTGAAAGTCTGAGGTGAAGCCAAATCATTTTAATTTTTTTCTGTAGTAAAGAAAAACAAAGTAGCAGAATGAAGATATTTGCTTTGCACTTACCAGGAGCGTAGCTATGAAGCCATTTCATTTTCTGTGCTTGTTAAGTTTCATTCTTATTCTGGAATACATAAGTGAGCAAAAGATATCACTATGAAATTTGAGTGTAAAGTAAACTAATAAAAAAAGCAATATATACTTAAAATAAACTCATATATTGAGTAGTTTTTAGAGGTCTGTGACTCCTAAGGTTATCATTTTCTCACAGGCATTTCTGCATTTACATCTGCTTTGACAAATATAAATACATGCATTCAAGCATTAAATCCTTGCAAGGAAAGTACAAAACTAGGTTATTTGCCTTTAAAACCAGAATGAATAATTAGAGCTGTGAACTTGGAAAGCCTTACTGCTCTGCATTTTCCACATCTGTGTAGGAGTAAGGACAGACATTGGCACGGGGAAGCACATCTTTACTTGAGCTAGCAGAATCCTAGCATGAGATTGCTTAATGATTATTGGAATGGAAGTATTTTTACTATTTCTTACACACACTTTAGTTTCAACTTCAGTTAGCATCAAAGAATAAAATGGTTTCCAAGGCTAGCGTGTGCATTTTCTTGTTCACAGAGCAATAACAAGCAGGTGATTTAAATATCATAGAAGTGTGTTTAAATTTACGAAATACCTGTTTTAATGTCAATTTATAAAGTAATCAATAGCCACTTCAAGTACATTCATGGCAGAACTTATATTGTGACAAGTTGTCAGAAGCATAACATCAGGATTTAATGGAAACATATAGAGACCTATAATACTCTTTTACTGCAGGTGGCAACTACTAATGTTCAATAAGACAGAGAAAAAGCACAAAACCACTTCTTTTTCAGTACTCTCTCCTCCTACCCAGGAACACAAATAACTGCTACAAACTGCTCTACGGCAACACTACCAAACAGGTACTTCTAAAGTTTTTGTGTCATTTAATAACAAATCAAAAACCCAGGGGGAAAAAAAATATGTAACTAAATTCAAAACTGGGGGTCGTGGCTCATCTTCACAGTAGTTCTAGAGAGAAACTACATTTGCCAAAAAAAGAAAAGCACAGAAGAGTCACTTGACATCTATTGTACAAAGAAAAAATATTTGTATGAATTTGCAAGCAAATGCAGATTTAGGTGTCTGCGGAGTTGAGTTAAAAATTGCAGTTCAGAATGTTTGCAGGAACCGGCAGAAAGTTCTATAGCAGGGGAAACAAGCTGCCTTATATTTGAAATACAAAAACTAGTCTTCTGGTTGCTCCGTTGTGAGGCCGCCTTCTTTAACAATGGAAGCACTGCAGGTAACAATTGGAGAATGTCTTAAACAAGTGGCAATGTTGCCTGGGGACCCCGAGCCAGGCTTAAAGAAATGTCTAACATCATATCTCCAAGGGAAAATGAAAATACGTGGCTTTGATTCCCTCTGACAGGAGCTGAAGTTTTTGAGCCTGTTGTAACACCCACAAGATTTAGTAGATAAGGAAATAAATCAAGGGCCTACCCTGACACCTACAGTATCAGGTAAGGCACCAAAGGCCTTACCAAAAGCTACGCCAAGATCCATGGCTTTGGAAGCAGGATTCTGTCTCTTTCATGGTTCCCACTGTTTGAAGTCAATCCTCTATATGTCTTGCTTGTCAGTTATCCAAACTTTTCAAGGAGAAATAAATCAAACTGGTCAAGTAGCTGTTTTTATAGTTATTTTTCTTCCATTTCCTCTTCCACTTTTCCCTCACCCTTCTGAGGTCTGATTTTTAAACTGGATTTTTTTCATTTCTGTTTCACTGGGGGAATTCACTACAAACACCTTACGTGTTTGTGGTAGGTGAAGTGACAAGCACCCACGGCCACGGAGTGTAGAAACAAAGTGGCTTTTTTGTTGGTTGTTTTTTTTTTTTTTTTTTTCAGGTAAATTTCTAATCAATTATCATTACTACTGAAGTACAAATATTTGCACTCCCTTGTGACTTCAAGGTTGAGTAGCTGCTGGTAACTGACTGCAGTTGCTAAAGCATTAAGAGCTTTTTAGAAGCATGAGAGTTCTTCAGAAAATATTACCATATTTTGCATGAGATGTGTTGAAGGGATGCAAAAAGCAGTGAATAGGCCTGCAGGGGCATCTTTGTGACAAAATGCACCTTTAGTTTTAATGAAATTTTATTAAAGAAGAGTTTCTGAAATTGAGTTAACTTCTTTTTTAGAAATGCTAACATAAATGGAACTCCTTAGAATCCATATTAGCACAGCTGAAAACAGAAACTCCTTTTGTCTTCACCTGTGAACTTTAAGTTCAGTCTCAGGTCAGAAGCTAACTAGAATAGAGAGACAAATGCTGCCAGAGGTATGAATAAAGAAACCACTCTTCTGTTATGTAGTAAACAGAAGGAATTCAGCTCAGAATCGTTATGAGGTTGTTTCTGAGATGCTTCTTCAAATGAACAGCTTCCCAAGTAGAGTGCAAGGAGTGTGTGAAGGCAGGATTTCATTTTCTTTCTTTTAACCTTTATGCAAGTAAACTAGGCCAGCTACATAAGCCACAGTGCTCTGCAGTGTGGCACAAGACACAGGCACAGTAAAGACAGAAACATCTATGATAGAGATAGGAATATCCTCCACGTTTTCTCCAATTGAAGCAAGTTGCTATGGGAAAGAAACTGTTTAAAACAGACCTTTGGATTTCTGTCTGAAGACAACTTGAAATAAAGCTATCTAACAACTTTTTTGCACACAGTAAATCCATGACTTAAATTGTATTTGCTCCTATTTGTAATTCCTTAAGACTGTGCTAACCAGAAGGCTACGAAGACAGATTGTCAAAGACAGCTTCTCTAACATCAAAAATGCTTCTTAAACTCCAAGGACGCCGTAGGCTGTCCCGTATATTGAAATAATGATGATAATTGAACCTCATCACAGAAAGCAAAACCAACTGCTTCTGAGGATTTAAGGAATGCCATCTTCTCCACAAAACCCTTTCACTGCAAAATACAAGTACTTCCAAAAATGTTCACTATCCTAGCTAAGTAGGAACATACAACAGAAAGTACATAAAAGAAAGACTGGACATTTTCTTAATTATTAGGATGAATCAATCCCTCTTTCCTGCTAGCTTTGGCTGTCATTTATATCTGAAAATTAATTATGGCAGTAGATGTATTACGCTGTGGCAGTAACATTTGGGTACCATGTAACATTTGGGCAATCAAAAATACCTACAATCTCCTAAGGAACTGGGTTTGGATCCTCCACAAACAATACCTAAACAGCAACTTTACTGAACATACTGAAATAATTTCCAATGCTAATTTGCACTCAAGTTCAAAGATTGCCAGAGATCTCCAGATATCCAGAATGCTTTTTTGGAGTTCAATACATTATGGTAGTGATGCTATTGATTAAGAGCAAAACCTTAACATTAAGGTCAGATGTGCTTATTGATTTTTTTTTATTTTTTTAAAGGAAGACTTAGTATGAATGCTAATGGCTAATGACTAGAATCGTAGATTTGTAAGTCCATTTCACAAATTAAATCAAAGCAGGTTCTCTGTCCCCAGAAGCTAAGTTAAATAAGCATAATGCCACATCTGATCTAGTCTAATTCTTACTGTCTTTTATAGGACTGTGAAAGAAAGTCTGTCATGAACCCTTTCAGAAAGGAAAAAATCTAAGTAGGAAAGTAGAAATAACAAAGGTTAGGTTGCAGAAGTATCTGAACAGATACTATGCAAGGACAATCACAAATTCCAATTGCATATACATTACCCACAGCATTACACTCACACATCTAACATCATTAGGAGGCTGAGGAATGAGAGCATGTTTACTTTTCTAGAGTTAAAAAAATTGTGCCATTACTGAAATGCTGCAGTCTTCCACAGCAACATTTGTTACATTTATTACTGGCAAACATTATCTCCCATTTAATGATCTAATTTTCCTGAACTGACACCACTGAAAGTTTCTGTCTGTAATGGCAGACTGCAGAGATATTCACATCACTCGTGATTCGGATGATGTGTAGAATACAGAAAACACCAACTCCTTTGTTTTAAGTGCTAAAACTCCACACAAGCATAGACATACATGATTCTTCCAAAATACTGCATTCTTTAGCCTGCTATAACAGAAAACATTTAAAAAATAGCTAGGAGCATTTCCCTGTCAAATTGGGCCCTGCGTCCAGTGACATCTACATGTAGCACACAATTGTTACATGCTCATTAGAGCTTCGTGTCAGTGCCAACTCAATAAAACAAACCAACCTCAGACTGAACACAATGCCAATGCCAGGCAGCTCTGCTCTTTCCCTACAGTACTGACAGTCATTAGAATTGTTGACCATGAAACCACTCTCTATCCTTGTCCTTTCCTCCATCTCATGAAATCTCAGATACTAGTGCTCTCTTGTATCTTCATGTAGGAAAAAAAAACCAAAAACACGTTTATCCTCAAACAAACATCAGAAAGAATGATCATTTCCTGTAGCAATTATTCAAATCCCATGAATAACCTACAAATGTGTCTAGCAAATCTGCTTCACAGTTATCAAACAGCCTTTTAAGAATCTACACATACACTGTAAGATACAGGAATTTCTTTTTCAAACAACCTAAAAAATCAAACAGGAGGTAAGTATTTTCCATTTTACTAGCAGCTTACTGTCAGCATTTACTACTAGTAATGTATGGATTGAATTAAAGATGTTCAAACAAGTGAATAGAGATGTTAGCTTGAATAAACCATCATACTGAACTTCAGACAAATAAATAAAGGGGCATTACTGTCACAGCTATTGCTTTAATATGGTTTCAGTGATTAAACTAGTTATGTGAAAGACCTGGAAATACTACATACATTACCTTATCCAAAAATTCATTGACAAGGCATTTCACTCGTTTGTGGCTTTCTGTAGTTTGTTTCTAATACTCTTAGACTGCCTACACAGCTCAGAGGGACAAGAACATAAAAACATTCCTTCAAGTTCTGTTTTACTCAGGAAGAAAGACTGATGTCTCAATCACATCCTTCCCAGAACAGATGCATTTCTAAAATTCATTCACAAGTCAGTAGCTCATGAATT